TGCCCATAAGCCCAGATACTGCACAAATTTCTTCTGCTAATTCTACCCCCTTAATATCAACAGAATCACCGTGAGTTAAAATACTTTCTAGCTCGTTGCAATGTTTTAAAAGATTTTCTATAGACATGTCCTTTAAATCATATATATTATATAAAAATTGAAAATAATTACTATGGTGACTAAGTTGTTTAAATCTAGTATCTATTGCATTTAGTGCTTGGTTAATTGTAAAATAAAAAAATCTACCTTATAATATTCATTAGAAAGAAATTTCGTTTTTTTCTTCTTACGCGGTGCCGTGGTATTGTTAATTCAAAATTGGCTTCAACGTCAATTTCGTCAGCCAGTTCTCTCGCATCATCAACAATATTTTCATTAAAATATTTATTCGATTAAAGATCCCGAAAAAACTTTTTGCAATATTGCAAAAGATGAAGTGCAGATGCTGGATCATAATCTTTTGTCTGCAACAATTTGCTTATTGGGTTAATACAGTTTAAAATTTTATACTAAAGAACTATTGAACACAAAAATTTAAATTGTTTAATACAACTTAATTAACCGGTAGCTTCGTCCCTTATTAAATTATCAATTTTTTCATTCTCATAAATGCTTAGCAAGGCGTCGTATACGCCTCCGATATAAAATCTTAAAGGCTTTAAAGCCTCTATCCTACTCTCCCATCAGGTATCACTTAATGGTTTTAAAGTCAAACCCTGGACATGTTTTAGAAAAATTGCTCAGCGAAAAGTAGAAGCTGAAAGAAATAAATATATTTTCTGAATCATATTAAAGAAATTAGCGCCTTCCAAAATGCTAATTCTCAATGCATATGCAATATTCAGGCCTTGAAGCCATCATTAAAAACATCAAGCTTCCCACTGCTTCTCTATACAGGATCTCACTTCCAAGTTAACTGCTTTCTTCTAGATCATAACCGATACAGGGTGTAACAACTGAGTTCGACTCTTGCATGTGACATTTTTATAACATTTTCTTTATATAAGAGGTTTGGCTCAAAAAAATATCACCATTTTTAGTGGTTGTATCTGAAGTCCTAGATAGTTGTCAAGAGCATTCACAGTTATTTTAAATTCGGTACCTCCAGAAAAGAATCTATTTTTTCACTCTTTTCTCCAGCGAGCAATCCATCGTCTACATATATAGCAATCAACAATTTTCGATTATTTTTAATGCGGATAAATAGATATGGATCTGCAATGCTTACTTTTAAAATCTTCATCCTTTAAAAAATCCACGAATCTTTGATTCCAGCACCTCAGGGTTTGCTTCAGTCCGTATAGACTCCTATTTAATCTACACACTCTTCCGGTGCTATCGTCAAACCCCTCAGGTTGTCTCATGAAAACTTCCTCCTAAAGTTTACCATAGAGAAATGCAACAGGACTAAAAGTTTCTTCGTAATAAATTCCTGCTTTTTGACTATAGCCCTTAGCTAGCAGCCTAGCTTTGTATCTATCAATGCTATCATCTACTTTTCTTTTAATGCGTAGAACCTATCGATTCGATACGAGCTTGAGTCCTGGTCGCAAGTCGACTAGAGTCCACGTGTTGTTTTCAATTAATGATTGCATTTCATCGTTCATAGCTTGTTTCCAGTTTTCAGCATCGTCAGAACTTATTGCATCCTCATAGGACTCTGGTGTATCGTCACTTTCTGCCAAAACTACATAGTCTTTTAAGTAAGACGGTTTTCGACTTTCACGCTTACTTTTTCTCAATGACACTGTATCGCCATATTCTACTGATTCTTCTTCAAAAGATTCTTGTTCTTTATCTTCAAACCTATTTACATTAATTCATTCTATATACGAGTTTGATTCATTATTGACATTGTCTCTAATTAAAAATTCTACGAAATGATTTCTTTGGTGTTCAAGAGATAACTCTTTCTGTTGAGAGGTCTCTTCAGATTGAAAAATCAAATCTCTACTTGTACATACTTTGTTTTTATCATGAAGCCAGACTCTGTAGCTTTCTTTCTCTCCACAATAGCCAACAAAATAACCTTTAACACTTTTTCTATCCCATTTTTGTCGTGTTTTTATCAGAATATGAACATAACAAGGTGTACCAAATACTTTTAAGTGGTCAATAGGTACCATTTTACCTCTCCATAGTTCTAGTGGTGATTTTTTGATGACTGATGTAGGACCCGTTCTGTTAAGAACATGTACAGCCGTATTAGCGGCTTCAGACCATAACTTAACTGACAAATCTTTTGAGTAAATCATGGATGGATCTGGCACTCTCCACTAAGGTTCGGTTTTCCCTCTCAGTCAGGCCATTTTGTTCTGGTGTATACGGCATTGACAAGCGAAAATGTATACCTTTATTTTGGAGAATTTTTTTCACATCAACATTATCGAATTCCTTTCCTCCATCACTAAGAAATTCGATGATTTTAACATCTGCGGCTGTGGCTTCATTAATGAAAGTCTACAAAGAAGATGCAACTTTGGACTTTGATTTAATAAAAAAAATACTCGACGAAATTTTGAATAATCGTCTGTAAAACAGACAAAGTATTTCGCACCGCCCCGGGAAATTTCTTGCATCGGCCCACATACGTCACCATGAATGATCTCTCCTGGCTTAGTGGGTCTGTGTTTGCGGGACTTAAATGACCGTCTATGTTGTTTTCCAAAAATACAACCTTCGCATAACTTATTCTTTATATCGTCGACTGCATCTATGCCATGTACTTTCAAGATGTTTAATGTTTTGATGACATAATCTTTCATGCCATAACTGCAAAGTCTGAGGAGATGAAGATATATACGTTAGCAGAAATTTCGGGTAAACATACTTTTATATTTAAAAAATAAAGTCCTTTTAAATTTCTTTTATAGGTTAACCGTGCAATACCATGTTTCGTGATAACACAACCGTCTTTATCGGCTTTAAAGTCGAAGCCTTTATTTAACTTCTGTCCTATTAAAAATAAATTGCTTCCAACCGCAGGAACATACCATACATTTTCGAGAGGATTCATTTCCCATTTATTATAAACTTTAATTTTGTTATTGACAACACTCTGTCCATACGCAAGGATCGTATTGCTATTTCCTACTTTCACCTTTTTTGTGCTGAAGTACCCGAATCTGCTAACCATAAGCTCGTATCTTTGTCAGTGTCATTTTGCATATCAAAATTTACTTCACAAGAAAAGGCGTCCCCTTCTGGTTCTTTATTATGATTGATGTTTGGTTTTCTTTCACTGCTTTTAGGACTCTTCTTACAATTCTTAGCAAAATGTCCAACTTTATGACATTTAAAACACAATTTTCGCAGATTTTTCTTTCGACATTTTAATATTATCCTCAATTTTATTGGGAACAGTCTTCTTATTAATAGACTTCGCAACGAATGCACTTGACTCATCGGTTTTAGTTGGCAAGGTCATTTCAATTAAACGCAAACGTTCGGTGAGCCTATTAAGAGTTCTTTCGCTAACTGGAACAGACTACCACAGATTTTTAAATTTGAAGTATTCATTGGGAAGTGTGGACATTACTCTACTCATGAACAATAGATCTGGAAGCTTCGTTTTAACTTAACGAGTAAGTTCATCATTTAATTCTCTGAAATTTCTTTTAAGACGAGCGATGTGAGTTGCAATATCTTTTTCTGGGTCCTTCTGGCTACTGAAAAATTGCTCCATCAATCTGTCCACTCGCTGACCGGAACTTTGTTCATATATAGACAGCAATTTTTCCCAAGTTGCTTTGGACGTATGACACGTTGCGGTTAATTCAACATTAGCATCGTTCATACTTCCAACCAGAATTAGTTGCGCGCTAGTGCATCACTTTGGTTGAAAACTTTTACATCTGCTGTGTGCTTGGTTTTCTCGACCGCAGTAGCTGTTGGCAGTAGTTCTGGCATAATGTTTTCATCGGTCACCACCCCTAGAACTTCGTGACGCTGTAACAAGAGCTCAATCTGACGCCTCCACTTGGTCCAACTTGAAGCTCCCTCAAGTTTTTCAATTTGCAGTGACTTAAACTCCATCGCATATATATATATATATATATATATATATATATATATATATATATATACGTTCCTCTTCGTACTTTGTCATGAATTGACTTAAAACTCTCTAGTTATGTTTTTTTTTTTCATTTTTGAGGCGTCTAGGCCGAAAACCTGTTGCCATTTAACCAACTCTAGAAGAAAGTTTTAAACAATAAATGATTATTAATCTGGAACAACTATTATTATTAATTAAAATTTACAAAAATTTGAGTTATATCAAACATTCAACATCAAAACATTTTTTTTTGTAGGCATAACTACTGCAGCAGGTGGAAGATAAATTATTTTGACTATCTCCCTAGATCAAATACCAGAGACTATTTTGTCGTCCCAAATATAACACGACCTTGATTAATATTCCACTATTTTTGTTGTTGTTAAATTTCTCGAACATTTTACAATTTGATTCTACATAATTTTGGCATTAATAATCAACTTATTAAAGCCCTCGAGCTAAAGCTTTTGGGCTCTAATCAGATTATTAATGCCAAAAATTAGGTCTCATCAAATTGATACTAAAATATTCTCGAAATTTAGATTCCACAAAAATAGCTGACTATTGTCAAGGTCTTGATATATTACCCTTGAATATTTCTAACAGATTTGTATATTTGACAAAATATAGATGACAAGTGTAGCAGACGTAAAAATCTACAAAGTTATTCCAAAGTTAATCATACGGAAAGAAATTGACAAGATTAATAATTCCTGTTATAAACGGCCAAAGACTCATTAAATAGCAGCGGTCATTTAGAATCATCTCGATTGCCTCCGTCCATGATTAACATCCAATGACCGCTAGAGGAACTCTATCCTCCTATCTCTAACGTGATAGATAATACAATTAAGCATGTCATTTTTATTTCGAAGATACCACGGGTTAATATATTGTATGTTTGTTTTCCAATTAAACACCCTATATATTGCTAATTTTTCAGGACATTATCCTGCAAATAACAGACAACGCATTCGGAGGACACGGAGTTGTATTCGAGAATGTCCATTTCAAAAGGCATTTAATCGTTCCGAATATTGGAATCGTTTCCGTTAACGCCGTTGTACAACCTGGTAGCGGAGAATTCGAAATATTTTCTGACAATGAATTAGTAGTCAAGGGCAAAATTACCATCATTGAAGATAAAGACGACATGGATGATTTAGAAGTTTTAGAAATTCCCGTTACCAAAGAAAGCGTCTATCTATCAGAAAACGATGTATATACCGAACTAGAACATAGAGGTTACAAACTCGAAGGAATATTTAAGGGAATTAAACAGTTAACTCTCAGTCAAAAAGGTAAATGAATGAAAGTGTAGAAAATAAAATAAAACTTAAGATGAATCCATTGCAACTGAAATGGATGAAAAGATTTTTTTTAACATTGTTTATTTAGGATATCACATAAATATACTGACAAAATTTTTTTGCACAATAAACATATGATAGAAAATGCTTCGTTTCCGATAAACAGGGTGTTGGTTACAGGACTAAAAAGTAAACTTGTTTGAAATTGTAGTTGTAAGAAAATATGTAGGTACCTACCAAGTACAATTATTAAAACCATAATAGTTAGTTAATATGTAGAAAACGAGAATTACCATGTAGATAATTTATCTTACTTTAACCTAGTTGAACTTTTGTAGTTGATGATTTTAACCACCCTTTCTTCTTCGTTATTTTTATTATGATAGTGGTGTGTCGATTTTCTATAATGTACATTTCTGAGACAATTCTCATAAAATAATTAATACGATACAGAAGTGCTTTCATGATGTAGATATTTTTATTACCTAGCTAATTTAAAAATTTACTTCGTAACTAATATTTTCAAATTCTTATTGTTTACTTTCTTTTATATATGACAAAGGCGACATCTGAAAATATTTATGAAATGATTCATGAAATAACCTAAAAGTATATTACAGAGGATGTAATGAGAACTCCCTATCTCTCTTATTCTTTCAAAGAAAGTGATATCTAGCTCACTTCTTACCTAATGATTTTAAATAATAGGTAATGAAGAAGTGAATAATTAAACTAATCTATAGAACAGGAATTTCCTGAGTAAGGTTATATCTGCTATTCTTCTTGAGGAATTTATGGTATGCACATGGGACCTTTACAGCTGATGTAAGACTTTTATAGGTTCTAATCAGCACAACTTATTTATCTTTTAGTCAGAAATATAATTAATCGTAAAAACTTACTTATTTTTAGGCCTTCTTTTTCCTTTCATTATTTATTTTCCCGGCATTATTACCGGACACCACGATTCCCCAACTGTTATCAATCTGGGTGTGTTTAAGACATTTGGTCGCATCATGAATCACTATTATTGGCCAAAAATAAGCAAGAATGTTCAGTAGCATAGCCTCAGTGCAAGATATTTTTTGGAGCCCTCAGGGTTAAAAAAAGCAATATAAGTATATTTTATTATATATTTTAGAAAAAGAATAAAAAAAAATCAAGAAATAATTATTTACTTAAAAACTTTAAATAAACTAGAATTAAGATACAGGATGATACTTAACGATAGGCCGTAATTTCAAGGGTTTATTTTTGAGCCCAATTCAAGTATAAAAGTTAATACAAACATGTGTCCTAAAAAGTCTGGTTTTCAAGATAGAGTGTCAAAATTTAAAAAAATCGTTGTTTTATTAATATCCAATTAGTGCTAAATTCGCGTCGTATCACAAATTTCAACAATGCCGCCAAAAGGATCTTTAAAATATTAACAAAAAACCCATTATTTTCTTTAAACTTTGACACCCTGTATCTTGAAAACCAGACTTTGTGTCTGTTTATATTAACTTTTATAATTGAATTTGGAATTATGGCCTATCATTAAGTAACACCCTGTGTAACACTTATCATTGTATAAAATACTTTTCACAGTTTAACAAACTCCTCTTAACCTCTTAAGTTCAGATTTATTTCAGAATCAATAAGCTTTATTCCCTTGAAAAGCTTGATTTTCTGAAAATTTCAAGTTGATATCGTATTTCGTTTTTGATTTAGGTTTTTTTAATGTTCAAACACCCTCATTTTTATTCAGATTTTTTCAAAATCAATAGGCTTTATCCACTTATGCAGCTTGATTTTCCTGAAGGTCGTTTTTAATATTTCAATACCCCCATTTTTTTAATTCAGATTTTTTGGTCAGAAACAGTAAGCTTCATCCTTTTATAGAGCTTGATTTTTATTAAAAAATTCATATTAATATCTGTTTTCATTTTTGATTTATGATTATTTTTAATTTCAAACCCTCCCAAACCCCCATTTTGAATCAAATTTTTTTAAATCCAAGGTCTTATTCCCCTTATAGAGCTTGATTTTGCTAAAAATTTCAAGTTGACAGAGCTGTTTAAGATCATTTTAAAAACGATTTAAATCAAAGATCATAAATCGTTTGCATTTGAACAGATGATTTAAATCAAAGATCGATTTTTTAAAAAGAAAGATTTAAATCAAAAATCCTTTTTAGATTTAAATCTTTTTTACAATTTAAATCATTTTAGGAAAGATTTAAATCTTTTCGAAAGATTTAAATCTTTTCGAAAGATTTAAATCATTTCGAAAGATTTAAATCATTTTAGGAAAGATTTAAATCATTTCGAAATATTTAAATCTTTTCGAAAGATTTAAATCATTTTAGGAAAGATTTAAATCTTTTCGAAAGCTTTAAATCTTTTCGAAATATCTAAATCTTTTTAAACGAAATAAATATTTTCAAAAGATTTAAATATTTTTATAGATTTGGGTAACTCTTTAACAAATGCTTTCGGTAGGCCAAAGATAATGAATACTTAAGTTATGTGATTTTTTCATAAATAAAACGCAAAACTCGATCAACTTTTCTCGTATTTATTTTTTATCGTTATTAGTCCAATGCAATTCTTACGGAAATATTAATTTTAAATAATAAATAGCCGATCAGGATAAAATTTTTAAGGATTTATGCAGCATTGATATCTATAGTTATGAAAATTGTTATTTAAAAATGTCATGTAGATTGATAAATAGGAATTTTTCAACCCTTTAAAAGATAATTTTGGTATGCCTATGATGCCACAAAACAATGGAGACCTAGTTTTTAAGAAAAGTGATTTTTTTTCTGAAAAATCACTTAAATCCGTCAACTCTTCCTTGAGTTATCGTGCTTAATGTCATACATATATAAACACCCCACATAGATGCACATACATCAGATTCTTTAAAAATATTTTTTTTTGTATTTAGGAGATTCTCACGGAAAAATGCATTTCATTTTCAAATTCTCCCGGCTATGAATAATGAAATTGAGTGGGTTGAATTAAAAGAGTTCTTCTCTCAACGTGAAGTTATTGCGAGGAAATATATAACCAAAGTAAGGGCGTTTGGGTTAATTTTTTTGAAAAATGTGTGGATGAATCAGGCAAAGAAATAAAAAATTTAATTAATTCGCTCTATGCCAAGCGTGTTTATTGAACTGGTCAAAAAGTCATAATCGTCTTAATGCATACATTTAAAATACATATTGTAAAGAGTTTCAGGATTATATCTATAATGAAAAAGTATTTCCAGCTGCTTGCGGTGTAAAAAATACAACTTAACAAAAAAAAAAATATCGGGTCAAAAATATTGTAAAATTTCATACTTAAGAATAATCTTTAGTCATTGCAATTATTTGTTAAACTTCACTATTTTTTCTTTTTCTTTTTCTCGGATTTCTGATTTAACCCTACTGACATGCTGGCTAGATTATTATTCAGGAATAGACAGGTTGATAACGATTTTGACGAATCAGGTGATGTAAATCGTTTTAAAAAGATTTAAATCTTTAAGAAAATAAGTATCAAATAAAACTGTATTATTTATCGAACTACTATCCACAAGCTTCTCCTGTGGAACGATTCACAGAGTCCTCAAGAACATGCTATCCGCTTATGTACGTGACAATCTTAGGATACTTAGCTTGGGCTCTAGATGAAATTACTAAGTTGACTTTTAATTTTTTAATGTTTGGGAGGAAGATTAAAGTCTCTGGCAAACCTCAAAACCTTCTAAGTCAATTCACAAAACCTTAGATCCATTAAGTCTACTCTGAATCGCTGTTATTGGTCTAAGATGGTCGACCTTCACTCATCTTTGTAACGGATGAAAGTTTTTCTTCAATAAAATAAAATATGTTTATAAATATACCGCAAATGGGTTGCCTAAGAAAATACGGTTAAGAATATTTATTATCTTAAAGAAAAACACGACACCCGAAAAGTGTTCTGCAGATGCTTCGACTATGTCCAAAATTAAATCAGCTCACCATCGCAGGATAGATTAAAGCTTAAGTTTGAATTTTGGTGTTTTTTCTTTATCCGTTTTTAAATTATCTTCAAAATTTGAAATTTGCACTTTTCCTCAAATATCTCGAACACGGTCCATTTTAGGGACATCTTGTCAAAATTATAGAGAATCAAATTACAAGCAACTTTTATCTGTATACAGAAAGGAAAGTAATAAATGGCCGTGACCGTATTTCCTTAGGAAAACTATATGCTGTATATTTATAAACATATTTTGTTTAATAAAAAAAAAATAAGTGTGGCACTCAGGGACTGCCGCGGTAAAGCTATTGCATAGCATTTTTTATCAACTTATGCAATTATAATTATTTATTTATTTTATTTATGCAGTTTTTTTTTTCTTAGATATTAATTCAAGTTTTTTTCTTTGATATTAATTTAAGTTACACTTTTTGAGCGTGGTGACCGATAAGAAAACAATTTTTTTTCTTTTATTGAATAAATAAGAAGTTAATATTGTTTAAAATATTTTTATTATTTTACAATACATGTAGGTTATTCAGGAATTTTTATCATTGAAACTATAGGTTTATGGCAATTGAAATAAAAAACATAAGTTTAAGACTTGATATCCTTTAAATATCTGGAAAATACCGCGTCAATGGTGGTTCCATATTTTGATGTGGATTCTTGTGGATTATTATTCATTTTCAAATTAAATTTTTCCGAAATAGAATCAGTTATGAGCAGTTAGCAGCTAGTCTACAAGCATACGTCTAGTCGCACGCACACAAACACCGTGCCGAAGTCTGTCGAACCGAAACGACGTTAGACGATGCACGGTTTTCAACGCCGCGCCGCTGTGCCGGTCGGAGTGGAGGGTATAAGGTTTATGTTTGTTACGGAATATCTTTTTAGATTTTTCGTTTTTTCGATTTTTCGATTTTTCGATTTTTCGATTTTTCGATTTTTCGATTTTTCGATTTTTCGATTTTTCGATTTTTCGATTTTTCGATTTTTCGATTTTTCGATTTTTCGATTTTTCGATTTTTCGATTTTTCGATTTTTCGATTTTTCGATTTTTCGATTTTTCGATTTTTCGATTTTTCGATTTTTTGATTTTTCGATTTTTCGATTTTTCGATTTTTCGATTTTTCGATTTTTCGATTTTTCGATTTTTCGATTTTTCGATGTTTCGATTTTTTCGATTTTTTGATTTTTTGAGGGGTTAGGTTTATTTTCGTTACGGAATTTCTTGATTCGGTCGCCGCGCTCAAAGCCCGCGATAAAATCTGTGCAATAGCTTAATAATGAAATAGTTAACACTGATAATAGTATATTATGCAACGATCATGTAATGATGGTTATTAATACACGAGCATTAACGGGGATACGAAACGAACCAAAGGCGAGTTTCGTATGGTTTATGCGAGTGTTTTAATAACCATTACATGAGAGTTGCATACGCTATTTTTTCTACACCCGATAAATAATCAAGACCTATAAATATTATATTTATATGGGTATTGAACAAAATAACAGTAACTACTCGTATTTCTATAAAAAATTCTACAAAATTGTAATTAATGGTATTACTTCGGGTATTAGTATTTCCCTAGATTTTTGCGGCAAAATATTTTGTACTGTATTTTCTGCTTTCTCCGATATGTGTGGAGGAGTCTTCTATATCGCTGATATCAGACATTTTATTATTATAATTATCGAAGTTTAGCTATCTACGAAAATTTAATACGTTTTGACAACTAAAACAATTACATAGGAACCTGGGACAAACGTCAAACAGCATGCTTGATTGAAAAATTGTAGGTTTCTATTTATTAAAAATCTGTATCGTAACGAAAAATCTGTATCATAATGGGTATCATTATGAAACGGATTATGGGCATATAAGTGCATTATTATAATACGGGTGTAGAAAAAATATTAATTTTTATTATTATAAATCTTGCAAAACAAAATAATATCCTAATATTTACGCCAGCCGGGAACATTTGTGATACCATTTTATTAGAAGCCAGAGAAAGCTCTTCTAGTTCTTGTATTGCATAATCGTTCCAGTCCGCATACTAATACGAATAGGGTCGGATAAAAGCTTCCACGGCTTTCAAAACTCCGCACCGCTGTGCCGGTCGGAGTGGGGGGTGTTAGGTTTATTTTCGTTACGGAATTAGGAAATTTCTTGATTCGGTCGCCACGCTCAAAGCCCGCGATAAAAGCTATGCAAAAACTTTCATCCGTTAAACAGATGGGTAAAGGTCGACCTTATTTCGGATCCAGTACTATTTCAGATCCTTTGCATGCTATAACACATAAATATTTTCAGATTTCACGTTGGGCGCCAATTTGTATCAATTAGGTACTTTATCTAAAATATAAAATTATCAAGTCAGATAGTCAAAAAAATGTCACTATGTATCCTTAAACTAATGACTCAGTGACAGAGGGTTTTAAATATTGTAAATGATGAAAGTTAATATCGTCATTATAAATTGTAGATTGGCGTATCTAGAAATGTAGGTAAATTATGTTGATGAAGAATAAATAATAGACCTTTTGCTTGAAATACAATATTTAAAAAAATCAATATGTTAAAAAAGTTTTGATTTATTTTAATTATATTATCACAATTTATTAATATCTCGATGGGGTACTTATTAGAGGGTATACAAAATTTCCATAGGCGTGTCAACGGGGTAAGTTTATTACAGAAACGAAGCGTTTTCGGACATATGTTTATTAAGTAAATAATGTTTATTTTGAAAAATTTACATTTAATTTAGTTAGGTTTAAAATTACTCATCGAAGCCCTCGCTTGTAGAAATTTAATTTAAGAAAACTCATGTAAACGCTTGGGAAATTAATATGTGAAAAGTTTTGGTGCAGCTCAGGTGCGGCTCGCCATATTTATATACATCTTAATATTGCAAATAGATTACTACAAAAATCCCACGTGGTGCGATCTGCTTTTACTCCTTTTTTATTCATAAAAAATTATGTTTTACATTAGCAACATATTGTAGGTTCTACAGCATGCAGAGAATGGAACAACAAATGGAAGGATCTGATCGAAACCATGGTTCAACAGCACGCATTTTATGTTGGAGAAAGAAATCAGCAAGTGTTCGTACCGAAGTATATACAAAAGATTAGTATGGTGCACGGTCTGCTTCCTAGTACGAACAGTGTCAAAATCAATTACGAATATTGTACGAGGTCATTATTTACATCTGGAATCGAAATGAACGATATCAAAAGTATCCCGTTCCAAATGAAAACGAAGAATGTAGAGTTGAATGGAGTAGATATTATGCAATTAGACGATAATATTTTTTCAGTAAGTTTGTTTATTCGAGAAATACTTGAACTATTAGTTTATTTATTGTGGGTATAACAGATATTAAGCAACAGTCATTATCCCTTGAACTAAAGCTGTCCTAAATTATGTTATTAAAAATATGTACAATTAAGTTTAGTGCAGTGTTTGACGGTTTTTTGTTCCAAATTATTTCGAACTTAATTTATTGACGTGAGATTTGGACAGAAAGTTTATTGAAGTATATTTATATTATACTTAAAGATAACATTCGTAGTGTCAGGATATTTCACTTGTAAGGCAAAATATTTTACACTATATTACACCATATTCTACACCATATGTCAAAACTATTGATCTATTACACTAGAATTACAATAAATTATAAGCAACTGTTCCATATGTTCGGAAGTTAAACTTTGACGTCACTTAAAATCAATTTATATACAGAAAACGATCTTTCAACATCCAAGGACATGCTGGAGGCATATATAAAGTTTCTTACTTTTTCAAAGTAGCCTTTACAGTTTTCCTATGACTAATTTCAACTAAAGTGAAATTAAATTCTCAAAAATTTCCTTACCACAGAAATTATTATGTTTAGTAAGTACCATGACAAGGGTTCCCATGGCAAAAGTTTCTCCATGACTGATTTCAGCTAAAGTATAAATAAAATCATCTATTACTTGACAAGTACATATTTCTTCACTACGGTATTTGGGTTTTTGTTCGTTACCAGAACAAGTGAGAGTGCCGTTTAACAATTTTTGCATAACTGATTTCAGCTAAATGAAATTAAACAAAAATCGTATTCATCTATAACTGGGCAACTACGCAAATTATTTTAATTAATTTAAGTGGTTATCTACAATGGTCTCTGTCTTTACCCTAATTTGACATCCTCAGTTATACATATAATTTCGAGCTCTCTTTATCAATATACGCAGAATTTAATCGACAAATATTTTGATAAAGTGAAGTCCGTACCTGGAATGACTTATTAACATACGGGCTCTGGTGATAACCAATTAATTTGCTACCTTAAGTTGCTGTCCAAACATTAACTTTAAACATGTTGATTCGCATCACACCAGTAGTGCATATTATGAGAGTTAAATATTCCTTGTCGCTTAAAGGTGGTCTCGTCAATGAAAAGGAAAAATAAAAAAAAAATTGGGATTGAGGGCTGTCCTTTCTTGTAACGTTTCTCAAAGGTCCACTCTATCCGGTAGTTTGGCAAGAGCTCTTGAACTTCTCTGCCTTGATAAGAATTTAGCTGTTGCTCCTTAAGTATCTTGCAAGTACTTGCAGAAGACGTAGTTTCTGTCGTACCTCATTCCCTTCTCCAATTGTTGGATCTTCATCAACTAAATTTAAAATGATATTCTCTTTCTGAATGGTTATTGTTGTTTTGGGCCTACCAGAAATATTTTTTTTTTCTACACCCACATGGATATTAGCTTATCTACGCACATATTACAAAACCAAAAAGTATGCTATTGCCTTCAACTGAACGAATATATTTCATACCCATTCTAGGTAGTAAGAATACTGCAAAAAAATGAAATCCACCAGTCACTGTTCATATTTTGATAAACCGACTGCTAATATTTTTAAAATTTTAAATAAGTGACAATTCTGTCAAACTAATTGTCAGTTTATTTTTTAGTTATTGAGATCAAACATACATTAAAATGGGTTATTCTTGTGTAGAATCAATAAATAATAGCATTTCTGTTTTTATTTCGTCTATAATTATAAATAATTTGTGAATTTAAATAAAACTATATGAAGTCAATTTAATTACGAATATTAAAGCAAGACAAATAAAAGAGTAGGTGGTCTTATGGTCAGCGTTCTGGCTTTACACGCGGACGACTGGAGTGCGATTCTCGGCTGGAGAAAAATAAAATGAATTTTTTCTTTTTTTTTGTTTCTTTTATTTTAAAAATTATTAAAAGTCATAAATTATTTTAAAATTAGTTGTTTTGTCTTAATATTATTATTATTTTTTTATTTGTAAATTTTCGTTAGTGGGTCGTAGAAAAAATATACTGTACAACTCTAATGGATTGTCCACATCGCACTCACCTTCGTGCGATATGGCCATCATATCCACTTTTGTTGCACAAACTACTATTTTATATCTCGTAACCGCTGCACTAGCGTATCCTAAACACTCTCCTAAGGTTAATAACATGTCGATGTATTCAACATGTATTCAACGAATACATTTTGATTATTAATTAACGTATTTCAACAATATTTCATAATATTGACATTACCGTCTTAACTATTAATAAAGGACAGTTTTTCATATGGTCTTGTATGAGTAACAAGACCATTTCGAGGTTTGTGACGAACCCTAAACTTTCTTAATGAAGGACATTTTGAACACTTACTGCTGTTTTTAGTCAAAATTATTTTAATTTTCTTCTTGTAATTCTTTGTTTAATTAATTACATTAGCATTAAAATAATGTTATTGTTTTTGGACTTTAATAAATAATTAATTGTTTTTGGTTTTTAATAAATAGTTAATTGTTTTTTAAAAATACTTTACAACAGCACCAGTTATTACTTCATCATTTTCAAATCAAAATATTCCGAAAATGGTACATATTATCGAGTTTTACCAAGCGTACCTTTTTGGTGTAAAATTTAATGATGTTTGAGTTTAAATAAAATTTGGAATAGAAAATTTTACCACAAAAAAGTTATGTTTAAAACCGTGTAACTAACGCCCTCTATGAGAGGCAGATATAAAACTAAATTTATGCACTTTGTCAGCTTCCAAAACATATTCGTACAAACATTCATTACAATGTTGCCAGTAGTTTCAGCATGATCGTAAAAAATGTATATACAATTTGTTTTTCAATACCCTGCTGCATCTTGAAAACAGATGTCGTTATGAAAAATTTTACTGAGCAAACCCAACTTATTTTGCAGTATTCTACCTTTCCTATAGTAACGGAGCCCCCTTTTTTTAAACACCCTGCTTAGATTATCGTACTTCTACACGATGTTATAGGGGTGGCTTTAAGGAGAATTGAAGGAGCTGAGATGAAATGAAAATGTTTGTGAATTGACGAGAGTCGGAATCTGATTGATTTAAAATCTACGAATTTGGGTATCAAAGCGTATGTGCTTTGGCAACTTAGTTGGTAAGAGTATGGATGGCTAAAGTCCGAGGTTCCGGGTTTGAATCCCGGCAGATGCACTGATTTTTTCGTTCTTTAATTCTCAGCTTTCTCAATTTTTCATTAGTTTGTTTTCACTTTGGGGATATGAAGGTATAATTTTCATAATTTCTTGGAGGGAATTGGGGAATTTTCATTTTCATATTTTTAATATTGAAAACTTGAAAAATTTTAAAGATATGCATAACTTTTATTTATCTATGGTTTAAATTGCTGAACAGTTCTAAATAATTTAGTTTTATAAATAAGTTAAATTAATAAACGAAGTACAAAAAAATTATTTAAAATGCTAATATTAGATCTGAAAACAATTAAAAATACACACGTTTATTACAATGTAAACAGTCACTACTCATAACATTAAAAGTTTGTTTAAAACCGTAGAATTAGTTTTTACTTTTTGTATCGCTTTCAGGAAATCGAATTTGGTATCGAACAAGCTCTTCAACTTACCATCAACAATTTTAAAGGACAAAATACTGGAAAATTATGCATTTCAGAAGTAGAAACAGACCTGCCACTTCAAGACAAGATTAAAACCGTCATTTCTGAGCACAGTACAATCAACGTAAGTAATACATATTTTTGTTTTATAAAAAAAACAAAAGCATAGTCGATCTTAATTTTTTAGATAAAATCTAGTTATGTCAAGGAACTAAAACAAATCGTCATGGCCGATAACGTCCCGCAACTTTTAGTGATGAACGACATTGTAAATTCCGAGGTACTCTCGTTAATGTCGAATTCGTGGAGTGTATTTTTGTTTGTTAAAGACGACCCTGGTAGAAGACTAGATGATGGAAATATTGCCGTTGTATCTCGATTCAGATACGGTTCAGATCATTATATTATTTGCAGAAAGGTAGGAATAACCATTAACATGTTTAAAAATTGAACGTCAAATCTCCACGGTACTATCGCATTTAACAAAATCAATTTTGTTACTAGATAATTAATATTATAATAGCAAAATTTACAAAGAATGTTTAAATTTACGAACATGTAAAACCCAAAATCTAGAAACTTCATTATAATGAATTTCCAATGTGGAAAAATTCGCTATAAAACTAAGAATCTCTTAAAAAATCTTTTGAGACCGTTTTATTTATAATGTCACAATAATAATTTGGTATTTAAAGCTACTTAATAAACCAGTATAAACATACAGAAGCGAATAAAACTACAACATATAATCGACTTACATCTGACTCGGAACATACTCCCACCTAACATTTTGAGCAAAATTATATAGGACCACCCCTGAGGTAAGCCCTTACTAACAAAAAGAGAATTATAAAAATCTTACAAGGGGGTAAAGAATTATCACTAAATATACATAAAAAATGAAGAATTTGAGGATTTTCTCATGGACCCAATTATTAGATTTTAACCAAATTAATATGGGACCACCCCTGAGGTACCCTCTTTCCAACAAAAAATCATCAAATAATCATTGAAATCGGACACCATGTTAAAGAATTATCGCTAAACATACATTAAAAAAAAAAAAACAAAAAAATATATCGACGAATTGAGAACCTTCTCCTTTTTTGAAGTCGGTTAAAAATACGAATAACATATCAATTTGGAGTGGTACAAAAAAAAACAGTTTACAACTAGGAAATATATCTCGTAAGTTTTAACTATTGTAACTTTATCGCTATACCAGCAAGTAGAAAATGATAAGATTTTAGGAATGCTTATACTGAGATAGTCAAAATCACATACAAATTTGAAAGAAATTTTCATATTCAAATACCAGCCCGAGAATACTGGACTCAGGGACCTCCTATACATCATACAAGCTGACTTCGTCTAGTATACAGACGGTTCAAAAATCAATGAAGGAGCCAGTGCTGGAATCTTTGGACCAAGTCTAGAAGAATATGCAACAGTGTTACAAGCTGAACTAATAGCAACACTGTGCGAGAAAAATATTATATCAGCAAGTATTAGGCAAAACTATTGCCATCTACTCTGAGAGCCAAGCAGCTCTAAAGACAATCATCTCACTAGAAATTAAATCACGAAGCACGACCGTTCATAGGCGCCGAATCCCCGGGGGCTCTGGGTGCGACTCGCATATTTGCATACAACACCCAGGATCACCAGTCGGTTTTCGCCCGAACATCTCTGGTAAATAGCAGACGATATGGTAAATCGCTTGGGTAACTAACACCCGTGATCGCAAAAATGTTCGTTAAAAATCAGTCTGGAAAAAAGCGCCAGAAGCGGTTAAGATTAAGGTTAATAAAACGCAAACCAAACGATTAGTATTGATTCAGTACGAAGGTTTAGGTTTTTATATTTGATTTTGTGATTAAATAAAATATGAATTTGCCACCAAATTATGAATACAACATAGTTGATGACCACACAGTTAGGATAACCTTATCTAATAAGGAAGAAATATAAGTAAGTACCTTTTATAATTCTTTAATACCTAATTGAAGCCGCTAAAAATGAGGTTATGTCCGGGTTAGGAATTTTATCATAAATGTGTACCTACAATGTAATTGCGTTGAGCGTTATACAGGGTCTGCTCAAATTTGATTACGAAATGGAAAACTTTTTTATTTTTAATTTATCAACAAAAAGTTATTTTTGATAAATTTGGTGCTTGGAAAAATAAAGCCTTTGACGATCTTGAACCTAACGTCAAGTGTACAGGGTGCTCCTAAAATACAAAAATGTACTTCAATTTTAAATTGGTTTGGGTTGTTTTGGGTTTGTTTGGCTTAGAATTGGTTAAATTATAATAGTTTGAGGCTAACATTCTGGCGCACACTGTTGACAGTGTGTCCAAAATAAGATGACCTTATCTCGGAATCTGAAAGTTATAATAAAAAAAATGTTAGGATAAAAGTTGATAAGTTTTAGGTACATTTTTATTGTTTAATAATGACAAATATACAGGGTCTTCGGTTTTTCCGGAACTGTCCTCAACTTCACAAACTTAAATAGAACTCCCTATATATTTTTCAATTTTCTTTCTTTCAAATTCTAGATTATTTTTGTATGAGGTACCCTATGTCTAGATCTAGTAGTTTTTGAGATATTTAAGATCAAAAATAGCAATTTTTTAAACTTAGCTTCCTGTAGCTCGAAAACTATGTCACAGAATAAAAAACGAGTTTCATTTCCCTATATTAACTTCCAATAGCTACCAAATGGTATAGCCAGTTAGTGGTACCATGGGCACCATCGATGGGACCAAAAATAATACCCATGGTCCAACTAACTGGTTAAAACATTTGATAGCTATTGAAAAGTTAAGATAGGAAAGTAAAACTCGTTTTTCGATATGTGACATAGTTTTTGAGTTACAGGGTGCTAAAAGTTAAAAATTGCGATTTTTTATCTTAAATATCTCAAAAACTACTAGGTCTAGATATAGAGTACCTTATACAAAATTAATAAAGAATGTCATTTTTCTTTTACAGAAATGGATGACAGATTATCAGAATACTACCAAAACAGCTTGGAGCATACACAAAACTGTTCAAACCCCCATTAAGACCGCCAAGAAAAACTTATTTAAACGATACTATTATTGCCGTTTTAGTACCCGTGAAACAAAAATTTCTGAAACTAATCGAAAGAGAGCTCATGCATCGCGAAACATAAATTGTCCTGCCAAAATTATAGTCACAGTACATCGTATTCCTCCTCAATATTCCCGAGCAAATCACCGTAATATTATTGCTGAAAATTGGCCGTGTCTGATTGTATTTAATAATAATCACAATCACATAGTGGATAGCGCTGCTGCGCTATCAAAAAGACCCATTGCAAATGAAACCATTCAAGAGATTCTTCAATTTTTTGAGAGAGGCCATTCAGTGTCATCGGCTTACCACAGTTTCTGTTTTTCAAAAATGGAGACACTTGGAAATGATTACGATGAAATGATGTCAGACAGACATTATTTTCCAACAAAAAATGATTTTTCAAATATTTGGAAAAAGTATTTTAAGGCATCATTTGGTGCTCGTTCTGGAAAAGATATTCTAGCTGCACTGGAAAAAAATTTGTCTTCTACTGATACTCTATATAAAATTGAACAAATTTCAGAACATTACGTCGTTTCTCTATGCACACCGATGATGCAAAGAGCAGCAAGTCTGCCTGTTCAAACTTCTGAAATATTATTTGTGGATGGCACTGGAAATTGTGATATAGAAAATCACAAATTATTTTTTTTTGTAACGCAGTCTTCGGTTGGAGGTATTCCAGTTGGATGTGTCCTTACAACTTCTGAAAAACGTGAGGTGTTTGATGTGACTGTAAAAAATTTAATAGAAATTATGCCCACAAAAATATGTCCTTCAGTTATTTTAACTGATGATGATTTAAAAGAGCGAAACGTGCTCCAAACATATTGACCAAATGCGACATTGTTACTCTGCACATTCCATGTGTTAAAATTGACCTGGAAATGGATTTGTGCCTCCGGCAATAATATTGAGCGCGATAATAGACAAGATGTATACAGACTTTTTAGACAAATTTTAATGTCAAATCAAAGTGAGGATCAAGTTGAGTCCAACATTGCATTATTTTTTGAGAAAACTTCTAAGTATCCCAAATACCAAAACTATGTAAAGAAAATGTTGGAAAGAAAAGAGGTTTGGTGTCTTTTTTACAGAAAAAACTTTCTTACGCGTGGCTCAAATACCAACAATATGGTTGAAGTAGTGTTTAGGCTTTTTAAAGATGTACCGTTAGAAAGAACAAAAGCCTATAACCTTGTCCAATTGGTAGATTTTATTACAACAAATTTTAACGCCTATTACAAACAAAGATTATTGGATGTGGTTACCAACAAAGTAGATATTAGGAAATATACAGTAAATGATAAGGATGTTAAACCAGATAACATAAAGAAATTGAATAATTTTCAATATTCAGTCCTAAGTTCCTTAAGCTCTATCGAATATTATGTTGATATGCATTACTTGTTCTTGCCCCGAAGGCCATACAGGGAAGATATGCAAACATCAATCAGGTGTTATAAAAAAATACAACATAACATCGGCATGTAATATCTTGTGTCAAAACCAAAAAATAAATATAAGATAGCTACTGGCACGAACCCTCCTAACCAGTTCTTAAAACCACTGCTTTTAGTAAAGGAACCGGAATCCAGCACTACATGTTTAACAAAAAATACAAACTATTTGTTAGAAAGACCCATCACAACCTCTTCATTAGATACAGATTGCCATAATGATTTTGAAATGTATGCGAATGACAACCCTATAGAGGAAGTAAATACCAGTGCTCTTATAAATGAGTGGAAACTATTTGCAACGAAATTTACATCCGATATCGAAAAAAATTTGAGGGATGACCCGGAAAACTTTCAAGAAGGAGTAAAAGTCTTTATGAACAGTTATAATACGAATGTGAAAAGTTCCTCCAGCCTTTTAAGTGGCTTAAAATTTAGGGGTACTAGCACCAAACGATTAATTAACGCTTCTCCAAAGGGCATGACAATTTCCGTATAACCAACTACTATTGTGCGCAGAAAAACTAAATTTACAGGGAGAAGGCGATTCCAATCAGGGAGAAAACCGAAAAATATAACTCAGAAACAGAGGTTAGCACCCCATGATTTACAAGAATGCGTTAAAGACAATAAGTCCCTAGGCAGAAGGAAAATTGCTAAATAATATTTTTTATTCAAACTACTTACATACTTCTTACCTACCTGTTACCTAGAATACATATTTTGTTAATTAAATTTGCAATAAAAGTGCCAAAATCTATCGAAGTTTTTTTATTCATTAACACATCACGCATACTTATAGCACTTTCAGAATTTGCAATCACGGATGCTATCTGCTAGACGGATAATGCGATATCGACTGCCGTTTACAAAAGGGGTTAGGGCAGTTGAAATTTGCAATCACGGATGCTATTTAGTAAATAGGATTTGCGATATCGTATGCTGTTTACGGAAGAGGTTACGGCAGCATTTGGGCTACAACCGAATCGCAATCATGGACGTCGTTTACAAATATGCGTGCGGCTCAGTTTTTCATTGGCTGTCAGAGTTGTGTGCTGTGACGTTGCACGTTGCTATAATTCAAATGCAAAATATTAAATCTTTCGATTTTTCATTCGAAGTAATACAAGACGTCACCTTAAATTTATATCTCTTAATGTCAACAAATACGCAACACCACATTCAAAGTATGTGCGCAACACGATGAGTTTACTAAAACGTATGTCTCGAATTAGCACGGTTTCAAATTGGCGCCATCTCATTGACAATACATTTTTAAATCTTAACACAAGTTTCATGAAATAATTAGGGCAAAAATAAAAGAGTGTATTTTGCGTTTTAGATTTTAAATAGTATAAAAAATGATGGAAAATCTATAACTTTTAATTACTTAAAAAGAACGACTAATAACGGTCTACAATTATCAAGATAAGAGCTCTTTGCTTATGCTATTGAGCAAATGCTTAAGGGAAGAACATTTGGAAGTTGCTCCAGATCATCAAGCACCTTTAAAAAAACTTTCATTAGGGTCACAAATAACTCTCTAGTAGTGCTCGTGGGTAACTCAGGTATTTTACTAAAAAACGCTCGGATCCGTCATTTTACTAAAAAAGCTCGGACACGTCAATTTTTGATTTTAGGGAGAACATTTTTTTGCTAGTTTCACCCCCTGAACGGAAGATAGCGGGGATGAGACTCACTATCTTATTTTGAAGGTAGTTTTACCTAGATTATAATCCCTAAGTTTTACATCCCTACTATCTACGTAGCCCATACAGTGGCTCACCAAAAGTACAAAACCGGTTTTACATAATTTTTACATTGTTATTATAATTTCACTTTTTTACGAACAATGAATGTATTAATAGAACTGCCCAACTGTTTAACAATCATCATCACAATCGAAAAGTTCATCGAAAGTATATTTTATATTTAGACCAAAAATTTTGGGAAACGGGGTCAGTAGCTAACCAAAAACCTGAAATTGAAACCTAAAAAATAAAAATCGTTAAAAGATCGTTAATAGAAAGACAGTAGCGATTAAAACTCGGGGGTTATAATCTAAGTAAAAATACCTTCAAAATAAAATATTATTCGACCCATTTTTCCATATAAGATTTTAGGGGTAAGTTTCACCCCCGCTAGAGGGTTTCCGTTCAGAGGGCAAACCTGGCAAAAAGATGTTTCCCACTAAAATCAAAAATTGACGGGTCCGAGAGTTTTTTCGTAAATGACCTGGGGTGCCCAAAATTGGCTCTGTTTCGTTTTCAAATGGCCACCCTGTATATACAGTATGTCCCCCTAGGTTGGAATCATATGGAAAACTTTTTTATTATTAATTTTAGGAAAAAGTTATTCCTCATAAAAAGTTTTGCATTATCTAAAACCTAGAATACAGTCATCAAATATCAAATTTTTTCAGTGGTATACGAGGTTTGTCAAAAAATATGAGTTTACTTAAGAGTAAAGTACCTTTATTCTTTATACGACTGATAAAATTTGATATCTGATGGTTGTTTTTTAGGTTTTAGACCATGCTCGACTTTTTATAAAGAATAACTTTTTTCCCAATATTAATAATAAAAAAGATTTTTATGTGCCGCCAATTTACGTAGACAGTTAGTGGTATAGGAAAGCTTTTTATTACTAATTTTAGGAAAAAAAGTTGTTCTTTATAAAAAGTCGAGCATGATCTAAAACCTAAAATACAACCATCAAATATCAAATTTTATCAGTCGTATAAAGAATAAAGGTACTTTACTTTTGAGTAAAACTCATATTTTTTGACAAACCTCGTATACTACTGAAAAAATTTGATATTTGATGACTGTATTCTAGGTTTTAGATAATGCAAAACTTTTTATGAAAAATAACTTTTTTTCCTTAAATTAATAATAAAAAAGTTTTCTATATGATTCCAACTTAGGGGGACATACTGCAATAAGTAGAAATACAATATATTAAATTTTATGTTTTTAAATTGTATAATTTTAATAATTGTCTATGAATTTTATTGTTTTAAATTGTATGGTTTTGATTTTATACAAATGTGATTTATGACATTGTGACGAACAGTAACTTTTAATCTATGACTCAAATGTACTATTATGTATTGCAAGTGGTCAATAAACTAAATTAAACTATTGTTGAGTTTTCCCTTTTAATGCCGGTTATAAAAACAATTATTGTTAGGCTTAAATTAATACAATTTTTATTCAATCATTCTTATAACTTTTCTTTTAATAAAATACTTAATATCTGTAGCAGAGGCAATTAATTTTTTTGTATTCAAATCAGATTTACTTAACCAGAAATAGTAGAAGCATGAACTTGCAAATTCAGACCTGCTTGTTATAAAATGAGTTTAAAAGAAATTTGTAAAAATAAAATCAATAAAACTATTTGAATAAATTAAAATGTAAAAATATTATACAAAACCAATTTATTGAATTTTTGTTTTATATACCGCGCTAATTTTTCCGGAATATATATATTTTTTCTATGATCATTTGGAGTCCCTTTAATATTAGTTTCTTAAATAGTTTTGATAATAATGGCCTCATATAGTTTAGATCAATTTTATAAACATCCAAAGAAGTTGTTTCCAATATCATTTTCACTGTTATTCTACATTTAAATATATGCTCAAACTTTTTAATAAAACAATGTTTTTTTTAGGCCACCACTAACAAAGCAAGAATAATTAACATCAACCAAAAAGAATTAAGCATCAAGGATTTAGAAAAAAAATCAGTACCGTGGGTTAGCGATTTATTTAATACCGTTAAACAAAATCAAAAAACACCTATATTATTGGTGACATCGTTAATACCTACAGAAGGATTTATCAATTTCATGAAAGGGATCAGGAGAATTCCAAATTCCAACAATATCCGTATCTTTTACAATCTCGATGAAAATCCTCAAAGTATCGAAGAAGCTTTAAAAAGAAATCTATCTCTAACGATACTAAAAAACAATTGCTGGTACACCTATCTATCTATGGCAATGAAATTTGATGAAACAACCGAAAATAAATTATCCCAGACACCTCTAATAGAAAACCGACTAATCAGCTACATTGGTCTTAACTTGAAAGACGAAACTATCAC